TGTCTTTTTTTTTTTTTTTTTTTTGAGTTTTTGAGACAGGGTCTCACTGTGTAGTTGAGACTGACCTGGAACTCACTATGTAACTCAGGCTGGTCTCAAACTCAGCGATCCTCCTGCCTCAGCTGGGATTACAGGCATGAGCCACCAGGCCCGGCTTTGTAGGGTGTCCTTTGGACTTCTGAGGGTTAGGGTAGGGTAATGGAGGGTCCCCCCAGGTCTGTGCCCTTGAAGCCCTTTTCAGAGCTTGAAAAGGGACCTGGACAAGTCAAGTTCTATGCTCTTCATCATTTCATGACATTGTAACCTGTTCTTTTGATCTCATAATCTTTTAGCTACATTTCAGAACAAACCCTGCAATGAGATAAAGCGTACTGACTGGTTGCCAAGCCAGATGATCAAAGCCTTTATGATCAGCCATATATTGGCCAGTATGCCTTTGTTATCTTAAGAGCTGGGACTCTGACCAAGTCTCATGCTCTGGGGGTGGTGAATTTTGACCTCAGGGATGCTTGGAGGGAAAGACTTCCTCGAAGGCAGGTGCTCCTAGGACAGCTTCAGGGACACCTAGGACCTGTTACCTGAGCAGACCACGCCTGCGTCCTCGTGGTGCCCGCAGTTGTGGCGCGCCCAGCCCGTGTGGCTGCAGCTCTCTAGCGCGTCCTCGGCACCCTTGCAGCTCACATCGTCGAGCAGGATGGGCCCGGAGCCCGGGCCGAAGCGGGCACGACCCGGGGCTCCCAGCGCACGGCCGCAGCCCAGAAGGCGGCACACTATGCGGGCATTCTTGATGTTCCAGTGGTCGTTGCACACCGTACCCCACTCGCCCCGGTACCGCACCTCTAGGCGGCCCTCGCAGCGGTTCTGCCCGCCCACCAGGCGCAGGGGTGAATCTGCAGGGCAAGAGAAGTCATTAGGAAGAATTAACCCTGGGATGAATTCCGCTTGTGGCTTTGCTACCACTCCCCACCGTGTATTCATTCTGTCTCTCTCTCTCTGCTTCTCTGTCTGTCTCTGTCGTCATCTTTTTCTCAAATTATCTGAAACTCTCAAGGAATGGCCATTATAAGCAAGCCCAGTTTCCTTGACACCGAAGTATCTAATCTTTCAACAAAAATATAAAACGCAATAGCAGAGGGTAGCGGCCTGGAATCCCACTGCTTTGGGAGGCTAAGGCAGAAAGATCACAAGTTCAAATTTCACCTGAGCAGCTCAGCAAGACCTTGTTTCAACAACAACAACAACAACAACAACAACAACAACAACAACAACGACAACGACAAAAAAAAAAAAAGAAAAGAAAAGAAAAAGAAAACGAAGCAGCAGCAGCTTGGGATGTAGCTCAGTGTGAAGACCCTGAGTTCAATCCCCAATAAGGGATGGGGGTGGATGAAGGATATATATGTAAAAACTCAAACAAAACACTCCAAATCCTCAAAATACAATTGCTCTAAATTGAGGTGCTGCCCTGACTTATCAAACAAAATATGTTTTGTGAAATTATTTTTACTCTCCAGGAGTAACTATGAGTAAATCTATATTATGTAACCTGGCTATTCTTCTCCTGTGTATTCACTCAAGATCTATGAAACATGCCCACAGAAACATTTGTGCATAGCAGATTTCTCCACAATAAGCAGAGCTGAAGACAACCCAAGTGCCCATCCGCAGAGGAAGGGACACATTGTGGTCCATGCACGTGGCGGAATGTTACTAAGTAATACAAGGAATATGTTACCAATACACGAAACCATACAGGGGAATCTCAGAAACAATTTGTCCCATTTGCTCATCAGTTGGAACCTGGATAAAGAAGATGTGGTTTTTCTATAAAATGGAACCTTACTCAGCCATAAAGAATGAGAAATTAGATTAATTCATAGGAAAATTGATACATATTGAGGATATACTCCTAAGCGAAATAAATAAGTCACACATGTGTTTTGGAAATAAAGTGTTTGTAAATGGGGAGGGGAGGAGGGGGTGAAGGGAGGGCAGGGACAAGGGGAAAAAATGAGAACCAAGACCTGTCATGTAAAGGTACAAGATCCCAATGATGAATGTAACTGTACTGTATACCGAAAATGTACCAATAAACTCAATGAGAAAAGAAAGAGAAAGTTTGTCAAGTAAAAAATGTCAGATACAAAAGAGCACTTAATTCTGTATTTGATTCCACATATATGATATCCTAGAAGAAAAAAAAAGGCAAACTCTAGAGACAGATCAGTGGTTGCCTAGGATGGTCAGAGAGATTTATTGCAAAGGGGCAGGAGGGAACATTTTTGGGTGATGGATATGTTCTGTAGCTTAACTGTGGTGATTACGTAGTTGCATAAATTAGAGCTCAAAGATGTGGGCAACTATTGTATATAAATGGTACTTCAAAAAAGTTGATTTTAAAATTAAAAATAAGCAAAATCCATACATTTGCGTGTTACTAACCAGGACGATGCATTCTGAGAAGGTGTCATTTGATTCTGTTGTTGTACAATATCATTAAAAGACTTTGCACATATTTACACAAAGGAAATTGGCTGCAGTGTCACCAGGCCACGTCATGAGACCACTGTCACATATGCAGCACGCTGTTATGTAAGCATCACCATGGGGTGCATTACTGTATTTTGCTGACATATCTCACTGACACACATGTGTAAAATCATTTGCCTTAATATTAATTGGTCTGAGGCAGCTTTATCCTTCAGTATTATGCACTGATTGGCACACGAAAGAGGCTCAGTGTATATTAATAATCATAGTAGCATTAATTTCTCTGACTGCAGTATGCTTGGTCTGGGATGGCTGCTCTCTCCTGGCCTAATTGGTTGCTACAATCTTGGAAGCAAGATTACTGTGCTTGTTTGGCACAGGGACCATGAGCACGGCTCAGTGGTAGAATGCATGTGAGCCTGAGGCCCCGGGTTCCTGTAAACAGTAGGGACTTAAAAAAGAAATATAACCCTAATGGTATTAATAGATATACTATCATTTTAATTATTAGGAATAAAACAAAAATTACCAGATGAAGTGATCATTTCTTCCACTGAAATGGTAACTGCAAATAAAAATAAATAAAAGTGTTAAAAATGACCTTCAAACTTATTTATGTTCAAAATTGAAGAGCCAAAAATTTTCTCTAATTTCAGATACCAATACTTTGGTTTAAGTTTCTATTTTGATTTGAATGTAGAAACTTTATTTTCTTAGCATCAAAATGTAACAAACGCTGTTGGATACTCTTTATTCTCCAGTAATAAAATGATCAAGTAGCCATAAAGAAGCACTATAAATATAATGAATTTTTGAAAAGAAAAATTAAAAACCGATTTTATAGGAAACATTTTTTCAGGTGTTGAAATGAAGTGAGAAAAGTCAAACTAAATAAGAGAAATGTCATATCCTAGAAGTGTAATTTTATGCTACAGTATACAAAGCAAGGTAGGACAATTAACAATAGATTTATGGCAATAAAATAAAATAAACGTGTTGATGTAGCAATAGACTTGATCATTACCAGGTGATGGTGTCACTTTCATTGAAACTGGGCCACTGGCTGCCAAAAAAAAGTTTTTTTTTCTTTTTTTAGTGAAAACAAAGCACTGCATTTGGTTTCATTGAAATATTTTACACTGTAGACTACAAATTTATGAAAACAATTTATTTATATCAATTTACAATGTTCAGGAATAAAACAGTTTTTAAGAAGTATGTTTTGCACAGTGGAACAATAACAATTCGCATTTGAGCAACTGCAATGCGCCAGATCATTTATGTCTCTAGTCCTTACAATGACTAATCTAGGTCAGTATTACCACCATTTTAGAGATGAGGAAATGAAACCTCAGGGGAATCATACAATATGACCAGGTTGCCCAAAATTCAAGCCTGTAAAGTGCCCAAACACATATTCTTTCTACATATTTTGATCTTAAACACATGGTAGGGTAGATACCTGAGGACCTATGTCTTAAGATCACATATACTACTATTCCCTGTGTATGGTAGAAGGGGGAAAATATCATGGAACAGTTGCCTCAGATATGGTTCCATTAGGACATTTATGGGTTTGCAGCTGCTATAGCTGGCTCTATCTACCAGCTAATTGGACAGCATGATGCACATGGAGACCTCTTTATGTTCCTGGCTGTATTCTCAGCTCTCTCTCAGAATAACCTTAAAATTGGGATTCAGTCTACCATCAGTGGCACCTTGTAAAATGTACTCCCTGGTGGTTTTACTCCCTAGCTGTGACCCTTTAGGAGTAGCATCCATTAAGACAGACTTGGATGCAGAAGTCTTAGCCCAATACCTAGCACACACATTAAATGCCATTCACCAAGCTATAACATTGGTGGATGAAACACACCAAATGAAAAAGTAGTTTTACAAAATCCCATGGCTTTAGACCTCCTTACAGATGCCAAGGAGCCAGTTGCACCATGCTCCACACAACATGTTGTACTTTTATCCCAGATAATCATGACAATGTGACTGCAGTTTGAGGAGATGGACACAGCAGTCCACCAAATGTCACAGTGCCTCTTGCAGAGTTCATGAGATTTATGGAAGTCTGCTATCCTACCCTGGATTCTTCATTTTGTAGTGCCCTTTCTTTTCTTTCCTTCCTTCCTCACCTGTTTATTATTGGCATGCCTAATCAGTCTATTTCAAAGATTTTTTCAGCAACAGGATTGAGACCATTTCACAGGCAGCTGCTAAAGAACACATCAATGCAGTCCTCCCTTTTCAGACCCCAGCCATGACCACCATAGCTCCTAATCAACAGGAACCAGTTAAGGAAGAGAGGCACCACCCACCTGCTTTCCTTATCCAACTGCAACCATTCTAGGCAGAACAGAGATCATACTGAGCCTCTTCTCCTCTTCTGCCATGCTTGTACACTGACTAAAGGTGTATGATTTGGGTTAAAAAGGCCTGGTGAGTACAGCCATAGCCCATAATTCCTATCATTATTCAGCCCTGCTCTTGACATGCAACCACGACTCCCTATATGTCCTCCAGACTTGTTCCTGGGAAGTAGCCACAACTCCTTTTTAGTGCGCTCTCCCCCTTGAAAGTCCCATTTTGGCTTTTTCTTTACACTCATTACTTTGTGAAAGGCCTTATAGCCCATATGAGAGTTACCCAGTATGGTGTTGGTACCAGGGTGGTCCCTCTTACGTTGTTCCAAATAAACCTGTCCTGTTGTACCTTTGTTTCCTTCTTCATTTTTTCCTCGTAGACATCAATATCACAGGGACTTGGAGGAATCACACCAACTGATTCATTAGCAAAGCCTGGAATCTGAAAGGACCTTGAACGGGAGTTGGGAATTGGGAGATCTGGCTTTGCCTTTCCTAGTTGTGTGAACTTAGGTAAATGTCTTACTTCTCTGGGACTCATTTTCCTCCAAAATTAGTATGGTTGTTCAATTTTTTTTTATTCATTAAGTTTATTGATACATTTTAGGTATACAATATGATGACATTCATCATTGCGAATTTGTACCTATACATGATACATCTTGGTTCTTATTTTTTTCCCTATTCCCCTGCCCTCCTTTCAACCCCTCCATTCCTGGTTGTTCAACTTTTTTACTCCTCTAGGGAGTCCATGACCAGCAGCATTGGCATCAGACAGGAGCCTGATAGAAATGTTCAAGCTTTTCCCAGAGCCACTGAATCTGCATCCAGCACATTCTCCAGGATGCTCACACGCAGGCTAACTTTTGAAACTGTTCTAAATAATCTCTACAGTCTCCTTTAGGTTCTGCATTTGAGGTCCTTTTATCCTGATCTTTCTGCCCCCAGCACCTACCCTCACTGTGTTCATTTTATGACCAGGGATGGAGAGGGCCTGGAATCCTCTAGAGAGTTGTCTGATTTCCCCTTATCTCTCCTTCTCTCCTGGGAAAGCAGGAAATGTTTATTGTGGGTATTTTAATTCCTGCCACTCTGGAAATTCTAAGAAAGTCACTCACCAGGGACTGTGAAGGCCGATAGCATACGTTGTGAAAGAGGTACTTCACTTGATGTGAGGGTTGTATCTGCAAATGGAGAAGAATATTTTGGGTTGACTAACAGCATGGAGGAAAACAGAAGAGCAAACCAGTAAGTTAACATTTGCAAAACTCAGCTTTGTTGTGTGTGTGTGTGTGTGTGTGTGTGTGTGTGTGTGTGTATGCAGGGGTGTGCTTATTAGTTTGAAATATGACCTGTAACACAACACACATAGACAAGCAGGTTAGGTACGGGCCCTCAGACCTGGCATCCCTCGGGCATAGCTGATCAAACCTGGGGTGGTAGGCAGCAGATGATCCCTGTTGTAGGGGCCATCTCTGTGTCTCTGGCTGATTGCAAGGGTTGTGGAGCTTTCTGTGCTTCCTGTGAACATTGGGCCTTATGTCATAGATAGATTATTCAGTACACATGTTCAGTAGTCAAACAGAGGAAAAGTTGATCATGGTTATGTTTAGCTTCAGGAATATAACACACAGAGAACCTTACCAGATGAAGCATCTATTTTTGCTAGAGTTGAAGATGCATCCGTATATAAATCAACAGACTAGTCAAAAATGACTGGAAAGATGCCAGGAATGTCATTTTATTGAGCTTTATTTTGTTGTCAATATGATCATTAAATAGGTTAATTCCTATAGAAATAAGAAGCCCATCTCATTAATTTAAACAATACAAAGATGAGGACTTTACCTGATGGAAAGGTCACTTCTAGTGAGGTGGAAGAAAAATCTATGGATAAAAAGAAAAAAGAGACTTAAATATCAGTGGAGGACTCCCAGGTTTCCATTTTCACTGAGGTGCTGCTCGGGACAAAGTTTGTGTGATACAATCTAGTTTTATAAATGCGACCCCAAGAAAAGACACCTAAGGGGATTGCTGACAGTTCCACCTGGAGTGGAAGTTATAGGGGCTGAGATTGAAGCTGGAAATGAACAAAAACAAGAAGGCAGAATTAATCTTGTCAGGCACACATGCTTCTAGAAGACACAGGAGATATTACAGTGCAAGCATAGATCAGTATGACTGGCCAGGCTTGTCCTTCTGTTCTCCAGACAGGACTGTGGCAGCTCATCTCCAGATGCTTCACTGCCTCTAAACCATGCCCTCCACTCCTAGGCCAGTCTCCAGAAGAAAGGCCTGTCTTCAGTAAATCTGACTGTGTTAGATGACCATTTGGTCCAGCATGCATCTTCATGGACTTCACTTGGTCTAACTAGCTGATCAGTGCTTTTCCCTCGGTCCATTCATTAAGCTGGGCTGCCCGGGTTTCATTTTCTGTCAGAAGATCCAGAGATGGCCTTTATGAGTCAGGCCATATTTAAAGACTCAAAATAAAATTTAAAAATTACTAAAGAATCAAAGAATTTGACCAAGACATAGATAATTTTTTAATGAATTCACTTGAAATTAAAATAATTTGTATCAAATCAAGATAGAACCCAAAATAACATTAAATTACCTGTCGAAGTAGCTATGTCAATATACAAAGATTGTGGAAATAAGAAAATTTTGCCACTATTGTGGTCTCACTTAGCAGTATTTTTGGAAAAAATTTAGTATGAGGACTAGTTATTTCTTGTCTTCCTAAGTAAGAATTAACTATCCAAATTTAAAGCATATATTCTGGCCAGGGATTTGGCTCAGTGGTGCTGCTGCTGAGTTTGAGCTCCAGTACAAAAATAAAATTAAAAAATAAAGCACACATTCTGTGATATTAAAAATCAAATCTTTCCTTTAAAGAAAAGAGAATGATCATATTTTAACATTCATGGTTTAGGTCCGTTCGGGAGAATATCATCTTTTTTATGTTGGGATGTAATACAAAGGTAGCTCAGAAGACACCGAGGTTAAGTTGGCATTTTTTGCTCCAGATTGCTGTATTTGGAAAATGTGACAATATTGAGTGATTTTTTTTTTCCTGAGCACTTCTGTGACAACTGCAGCATTTGCTGGCATTTCCTGCCATTGCCAATGAGGTTCTGCTATCAGTTTTACCCTTCCCAGTCTCTGTTCCCTATCTGCAACCTGTTGTTTTCCTAATACACAGTCAGTAGGGAGGCCAGAGAGCTAATTTTTAAGTAGTTATGTGCACGTAGAAAGAAAGAGAGATAGGCTCTGTAGATTATCTCCATGTGTGTTCAGCACTTTATTTGGGCTTGAACACGGATCTCAATCTGGCTGCATAGAGGACCCCATTGTCTATTTCTAAGTTCTGGTCTGTTTACCAAGGGTAAATTCCATGGAGTGATTCCTAGACAACTAGGGTAGAATCTTAACACAGCAATATCCCTGAGATAGAGAGAGGATGGGTCAGTGGAAAACTTGTTACCAGTTGTAAGGACCAAATCTGTTGCTGAAATTGAGGTAGGATCTGTCAAAAACAAGCAAAAGTTAAAGACAATTATAATTAAAAACTATCCTTATCAATCAAGCTCATTGGTAAAGAATTTTTAAAAAATGACCCCATTTAAAAATATGTGCCGGCAATCTGATTAGGCTTCATTTCTACTTGATTCTTCTATTCTGTTTCTTTTCACTGAAAGAAATAAGTACTGATGGACGAGGTCTGTGGGGCTGTGACCTAAATTCTCTGGGCTCTAGTTTGTTTGTGTAATAGATCATGTGACCTTGGGTAAGTCCTTTGCATCTTCCAGCTTCAGCTGCTCATTTGAAAGGCTAGTCCATGGCCCAGCAGCATCTGTATCCTATTGTGAAAAATCCAGTCTGTCCAGAATGCACTGAAACAAAATCTGCATTGTAAGAAGATATTCAATTGAGTTAGGTACATATAAAACTCCAAGGAGCACCAAGGATGCAAATGCATATGGCTGCAGGCCCACATGCACATGGAAAGATAGCAGGAGGCAGAGAGCATATGCCATATAAAAGGGCAGTCCTGTCTAGTTCAGCCCTGGATACTGCTGCCCTGAAGAAATGATGCTACTATGGTTCATTCTTAGAGTTTTCAACAAAGCTGGATATCTTGGGCTGAGAATATAGCTCAGTGGTAGCACAACTCCCTAATATGCAGAAGGTTTTGGGTTTGATCCCCAGGACTACTCACACACACACACACACACACACACACACACACACACACAGAGCTGGAGATCTGGGTGATGATGATGATGAGGATGAGGAGGAGGAGGAGGAGGAATGTAATGATGATGATGATTTTGCAGATCTAGGGATCATATATGGGGCTTCATACATGCTAGGCAACAGTTATACCACTGTGCCCTTGGAAGTCTGGATTCTTATATGAAATCTTCCATTCTTAATACGTTGGATTAAAATTTACATCTACATAGGTGAAATTAGGCTGTGTATGCAGTAAATTAAAATCCAAGTGGATGAAAGATCTAAATATTAAAACAGAAACACTAAACTTGCTGGAAGATAAGTTAGGCAGAACTCTGGAAGACATTGGCATAGGAAAAGACTTTATGAACAAATCCTCAGTAGCACGGGAACTAGCAGAAAGAATCAACAACTGGGATCTCATCTTATTAAAAAGCTTCTGCACTGCAAAAGAAACCATCAACAGAACTAAGAGACAACCTACAATGTGGGAAAACATTTTTACCAGCTGTTCCTCAGACAAAGGACTATTATCTAGAATATATAAAGAACTCAAAAGAATCAGCCCCCCCAAATATAAAGACCTAATTCAAAAATGGGCATCTGAAATGAACAGACATTTCACAGACAAAGAAGTAAAGGCAGCAAGTAAATATAGGAAAAAATGTTCCACATCACTGGTCATTCGAGAGATGCAGATGAAAACAACACTGAGATTCCACCTCACCCCACAAAGAATGGCTGCAATCAAAAAATTAAACAATAACAAATGTTGGAGGGGTTGTGGGGAGAAAGGAACCCTTCTCTATTGTGGTGGGAGTGCAGGCTGGTACAAGCACTATGGAAATCCATATGGAGATACCTCAAAGAGCTGGGACTAAAGGTTCCATTTGGCTCAGCCATCCCTCTGCTGGGTATCTTTCCAAAAGAACTAAAAGAATCATATCATAGTGATGTACACGCACCCATGTTTATAGTGGCACAGTTTGTAATAGCTAAAACTTGGAAACAGCCCATTTGCCCATCAGTTGGAGACTGGATGAAGAAGATGCGGTTTTTCAACAAAATGGAATATTGCTCAGCCATAAAGAATGAGAAATTAGATTCATTTATAGGAAAATGGATATATATTGAGGATACACTCCTAAGTGAAATAAATAAGTCACACGTGTAAATACCAAATAGTTTCTCTGGTGTGAATAATCTGCAATAATACATAAGATCCTAATGAGATAACTGACATTGTGAAATGGGAAGCACAAGGCTAAAGGCGTAGGGAAGGTGGGATGGGTAGGGGAAGGGTAATAAGGGAAAAGAAAAAAATGTGAGAAAATGAAAAGATGGAAATAAAGTGTTTGTAGCTGGGGAAGGGAGGAGGGGGTGAAGGGAGAGCAGGGACAAGGGGAAAAAATGAGAACCAAGACCTGTCATGTAAAGGTACAGGATCCCAATAATGAATGTAACTGTACTGTATCCCTAAAATGTACCAATAAATTCCATTATTTAATAAAAAAATTAGGCTGTTTGAATATAAACTCACAAGTGGGTCAAAACTAACCCTCGAGCAGCCCATTTGTGACTTTCGTTCTAAACAATCTCTAAGATTTCTTCTAACTCTTAGGGACAGCATTACTGTGATGGCACCATATCTACCTTGTCTTCCTGAGAGACTTGGTGGGCAATTTTCACAGACCCAAGCACAGAAACAGAAATATCTTTTACCATCTGATTTCCTTTCAAGGTTAGTTTCTGTCAAGCCTGGCAGAGGGACTTTGAGATTTTGAAAATACAAACCAAGGGCCACTCACATAACTGCTGACAGTTCAGAGAAAACTCAAGTTAAGTTGCCTTGTGTTGAGCTGGTATACCCAACTTATTTAGCCATATGGTGATCAATTGAAGCCCCAGGATGGCCCCCAAAGTGTCCAGAAGAAAGAAGTTCATAAAAGGACACAAGTTGGTTACACATGTGTAGACCACCCAGTTCCTAGGACAAACCTCTCAGGTGACTATGTCCAACCTCTTGATTAAAGAAACAGAGCTCCAAAGAGTAAGAGTACTTGCTCATCGAGAGTTGGTTAATGCCTGAGCCAGAACATAACCCCCGGTTCTCTGACACTGAATTCTATATCACACTGTCACTCAAAATGTTTCAGTGGTCAAACAAGTTTGAGTAAAACTGAATTTAACCAACTTTTAAAAAGATGTCTTTTGTAGAACTTGCCAGGGACTTCTGATGTGCTAACAGACTGAATCAACAAGAGAGAGGCATGTGGTATTTCCACAATTTATCTAACCATGCAAATCCTTCTTTAAAATTTACACATCACTGAATGTGTGTGTTGTACTGTGAAATATGCTTGGGAGATATGGTAATCCATTATTCTCTCAAAACATTGATTATAGTTCTCTCTGAGGTATCTGAAGTCCTATAATAGTTGAAAACAAACAAAAACAAGGAGAAACTCTCTGAAGCCATGTCACTAAAATTTGATCTCAGAAACCAGCTGTTGCACCATAGTGGGAGAGACAACGAGGCACACTCTCTTCCCTGTGCTCGAAGGCAGCCCATCGGTTCATTTCACTGTTTCAGCCAATGAATACATAAGCTTCTTACATTAGTCTGATATGAACTTGACATTTAATTTCATGTGAGATATAAACTGCAACCCTAATCACATGAAGGCAATCTATACATGTCTGATTTATAAAAGGCAAGAAAGAAAATATAATTACCAGGAGAAGTGGTCGTTTCTGTGACCGCGCCTGAAATGATAAAACAAACAGGAACTTGTAAGAATGTTTTAAATTTAAAACTTCAATACCTCAGATATGTTTATTTATTTATTTATTGAGTTTATTGGAACATTTTAGGGATACAGTACAGTTACATTCATTGTTGGGATCTTGTACCTTTACATGACAGGTCTTGGTTCTTTTTTCCCCCTTGTCCCTGCCCTCCCTTCACCCCCTCCCCCCCTTCCCGTTTACAAACACTTTATTTCCATTTTTTCATAAATTAGATGCAAAATACTTTTCTGAAATACGAAGTTAAAAGTAAGAAAGTTTTCTTAGTTGGGAATGAAATACAGACAGAAATGTTTGAAGATAGGAACTGAGAAAAGTTCCTTGTTTGTGGTAAAAATACCCCAGGATGGATCAGAAAGGTCCTTTCACTGATGCAATGAGGAGGAATTATTTTGTAGAATGGCAAAATACTGGGAATCTCCCTAATTCTAACTTTAGGCTTTTATCATTGATTTCTCTCTTTTAAAAAAACCAAGCTAAGTTATAATAACAAGTTACCTGAACTCTAGGGGAAAATGGTTCCTCATTATTATAAAACATCTTATGACCCCTGCTTGAACATTTTTCTTCTGTTCATGATCTATCACGAACTACACAAGTGCATCCAACCTTCTCACTGGAATGTTTGATGGTAGTCTAGTTCAGTGCTAAATTCTCAGGACCCAGAATTGGGCCTGACACCCTGAAAGGGCTTGATAAATATATATCAAAGACATGGAGGAATGAATTAAATCTTATTATTCGAGTCTCTGCCCTATAGTCTCTGCTGGGCCATAGATATTTTTCCTTTCATCTGACTTCATGTTGTATTCAAC